ATCTATGTTGTCTTCATTGATGCTCACATCTAAATATTTGTATGTACCGGATTTATAAGCATCTTGCCTCATTGTGAGCAATCCTATACTGCTGCAAATAAATACAAGCTATCAAAAGAATTAATGCCAAAAATTTGAGACAAGGGCAAGTACTGCACTTTATAAGCAAAAGTATAACAAACTTTGTGCATCTATAAATACACGTATTAAAATTTATTTGTAGTTTTCATTTGCATTTGCATATTCAATGATTCATATGTTATAACAATAAGAACACATCACAAAAAATAAATTAGTAATCCAAAATATGTCACTTCGTTAACCATAATTTTATTCATTAAAGTTTTCTTATATTCTAATATAAGGTTATAACAACATATAAAACTCTAAAAACTTATTAGTTAATAAATTCAAAAAATGTAGCACCCTTTTTGCACGTGTCTTTATCTAAAATCATATGATCAATTCCACTTGCATGTTGGTGGTATAAGACCAATAGGCTAGAAACACATTATTTTAAAAAATTTCTATTGTTTTAAAACTCAATGGTTTAAATGTATGGATATCTCAATACAAAACCATAATTCATATATTTCAGCCTACAAATATAGTTTATACACATTTAAATAATAAAAAATCAACTTAATAGGTCTCTTACAAATCCCTTACAAAAAAAAAAAAAAACTCAATACAATGTCCGAATACTCACAATATACATCTCTATGACATATTACATGACTTGCACTCAAATTTCCTAATTATATCAAAATTACATGATAATTTTATCTTCATTCTTCATTCTCATCATATATCACAATGTCTCATACACATCATACACTTGATCATAATAATCAAATGAGATTTCAACTCACATAAACAATAAACCGCAACATTAAAGCTCATACCGTAAGATTAAAGCAATAATATCAATATTCACATAACATACTCAATTTGATCAATCCTGTATCACTCGATAATTGTAAATACGTAAAATCAACATGCAAACATATGTGGGGGAGGCTATGATTCGAACTCCTTGAGCCCGGGCCACAAAAGGGCCTTTTGAGGACTTAATTTGTCTCGTTGTCTAAAGCACGGGTGATAATAATAACTGAAGAAGATTAATCCAATGAGAAGTAAATGATTACTTTTATTTCACTTAATGTGGATCAAATCATAAGCGATGCATGTATCAAAACATGCCTTCAAAGTTTGAGAGAGGTACTACACAAAATAAGGAAGTTGTGGTGAAACGATACTATATAGTCCATAAGGCACCATACGAACTTTTCAACATTAAAAAAGAACTCAATGGACTATTTCATATGCTCAAATATGATGAAATAAATCTCTCATCAGTTGTATATTTTCAGTAAAAATTTCAGAAAAATAAGATCAAGAAAATCAATGTGAAATTACTCAAATCATGAAGTAAGGAAGTTAGTCTATATATATCATGTGTATGGACTACAATATTGCCTTGAGACTCTTCAAATATCAAGTTTTTATGACCAAAAGATGAAGAAAGCTATGGTAAATTAAGAATTACAGTAACTTTTGATAATAGAAATGAGGTAGAAAATGAAATATATGAAAACAAATCGATACATTGGTGAAGCAGTATTATGGGCTTAATCTCACATATGAGGGACTACCCCATCAAAATGTTTCAACTTAAGTTTAAAAAATAAAGAAAACAAGAATGAGGTGTTGATCTCAAGAGGGCCATGGTGGCCACCTTTTTGTTAAGGAGGCTCTCTCTCTCTTTTAAGAGAAACTTATATTTAGGGTATAATTGATCTCATAAGTTGTTTTTATACTTAAATCATAAAGGTGAATTTGATCATGATCATTGATGCCTTAGATTAATCGCACGTAATAGGCCCTTATCCAAGTCACTCATCCATATCTTATTACTAAGATCAATGCATGAACTGTTGATACCCTTCACTCCTTAAAACCTAGGTTATTGTCATTTTCCCTTAAAGTCGTTGGCTCTATCTTTTATTTTCCATGAAACCAAAATTCATATTTACACTTATGCCCATGGTTTTTAAATAATTTGTGAGAGTAAATAAAAAACAAGGACATAGACATAAAGGTAATATGAGACATCCACACATATTACTAAAATATCTTATGATACCATCAATAGGATTTCAACAACGCTAAAGTTTCACATGGGTCAAGCCCATACGGTGGTACCACATAAGATGCACACACATGCCTTGAATCATATGTGGATATTAATATTTAAATCATATTAATTTTCAAAATCTCATGACTTCACACATGCCAAATAAATCACATGTGTGAACAAAACACCATGTGACAAAATGACTCACTTAAGTCACAACATTATAAAACATAATATAACTAAATAACAAAAGACAACATTGTCCCCTACGCATAGGCATGATGTCAACACGACATCAGCACCCAAGGGGGTGTGGGGGTACCACGTAGCATCCCTATGGCCACTTGGGACCCACTTGGCATCCCCATGGCTTGTCTTCAATTGTTATTTTGGCGAAGAAATTTTGAAAAAAATAATTTTTAGTGTTTTAAAAATTCTGAAAAATTATCCAAACATCCCAAAAAATCTCCAAATCACTTTTCAACATTATTACACATTTTTTCATCAATACAAATCTTTTTTCATCAATTTTATATTAATTTGGACTAAAGGTAAATAAGATTTCTAGACTTATAACATTAGTCAGAGTCTTTTATTGGGCTAACCCGAATGATGTCCCATTGGCATCTCAAGCTGACCCAACAGACCTATAGTCCACATTTTATGACAATGACATATAATTAGTCACATTAAAGTCGTTGAGCCAGAGCTTCCTGTCACCTGAGATTCATTGGATTACTAGTGCACCCCTGTAGGACGTGTTCCTACTCAAATACATGGGTCACCTCAAAACACATGTGCACTAGATCTTTTAAATCAGACAATACTATAAAAGAGTGGCTTCCCCATACGATTGTAGGTGCACATGCCATAGAACGGTCTCGTGTTAAGATACGGGCACAAGTCCCATGAGCCAACCATTCTATACAAGGTGAATACTTTTTAAATAGTTGGTTTCTATAATTCTGGATTGGATTTTTCAAACCCTGGCTTATCACATAAACTATGAGGCATTTTAATCGATATAGTCCTGACTGGCAGGTGACCCTCACACCTCCCTCAGAGTTTACACTCTCAAAACACATATTCTCAATGCTTCAAATGCTCAGGGTATATGAATCTGGGCTCCAGTGCGTCAAGCACGCAGATTCAGTATCTCTTTAACTCTCACTGAGCGAAAGACTCATAGCTTTAAGGCTATGAAAAACCACATAGCCAACATTGCACCCTCAATAGATTGGTTTATCATACACCATATTCTCGATGTTAATTTTAGTAAGTCCATCTATATTGATTTCATTAATCCCCAGATCCCAATATTTGCATGGATGGGATTTACAAGTATCTTGCCTCCTTGTGAACAATCGTAGATTGTTATGCATGAATGCAAGCTATTAAAAAAATTTAATGTTAAAAAATGGATACTAGGGCAAGTTCTGTACTTTTGAGGCAAAAGTACTACAAATTTTAAAGGCTATCATATAACTATGGGCATCCAAAACTCATAAACTCAAGTGCTAAGATAATGCAATCAAAATGATCTAAATGCTACATTAAAAAACTAGGGTAGAATATGATTCATGCCATCAATGACAAAAAAAATAAAGTTAGTCAACTAAAAAGATCTTACATGACAAATGAGAAGGGAAGAGGTAAACTTTGGAGAAGGTGTGAGATAAAGTTCCATGGATCTATGACATGGAGAAGGAGAAATCTTAAATGCTTCATTAGTACTTGAAATACAATCATACTTTTATTAATAGGGATAGTGATTTATGTAAATCTTAGGTAAGCGAAAAAAAATAATTTATAGTTACATTCTTTATTGATTTCTCGATAACCATGATCTCGTTGGCGAGATGATTAATTGAAAGGTTTTCTAATTTCAAAGCACTATTTTCTACTGGATTTCGAAGTGCATCTTACTCTAATAATACTATTTAAGGTATTGCATATAATGAGGCCATTTACCTTTAATACAATGAAGTCACAATTATTTATAACCATTTGATTTGAAATCTAATGGATTGGGTGTGCCACATAGTTTGAAATTTTTTTTCATTTGAAGTTGGAGCTTGGTTAATAGAATAAATGCAACTATCCAATTTCACATCCAATATTTAATTGTATATTTCTTCATTGGGTGCGGTTTGTATAGAGCAGAGCTGTAAACGATCAAATTGGAGCTCACCTTCAAATAGTGTCAAGAAATATTGTCTCTATAATGGAAATCTTTGTGATAACCTTAAAATATAGTTTTATCTCTAATTATAAAATTTAAAGCTTCAAAAATTGTAAAGATCGAGCAGATCTATAAAAACTTAAAAATCTTGAAAATGACAATAAAAAAATACATTACAAGATGCACTATTTCCAAAACTCAAAATCCATTTTTTTCTCATGTCCATACACTTAATGTCGAGATGATCAATTTGAGGATATTTGGGCATCAAAACCTCTTTTAGTGAAATTTTGGAGGTGTGCTTTAATTTGATTGTTTAAAGCCTCAGCTCTATGTAAAGTTTTTCCTTGTTTAATTATCCCATTACACCCTATTACTTATTTTTGTCATGGGATGGTGTACGATGATACCATTTACATTTTATACTGAAAGGTCATAATTATTTACGTCTAAGTGATATCTCTAGCTTGGATGTACCATAAAGTTAGAAAAATTTTCTTGTGAATTTTAAATTTGATCAATAAAATAAATCTAACCACCCAATTTTATATCTAAAGGTCAAGATCAATACCACCCAATTTTATATCTAGAGGTCAAGATCAATTGTGACCACCTTGTAGAAAAATAAAAATAAATATCGTTATATACTTTCCCTTTAACTTTATTCGTGGGGTTCTTAGTTCTTACCGGAGGGAGCGAGTCTACCGTATGCCCCTCGGCAGCACCGCAAAAGAAAAACGAGACTCGTGCGGGAAATCCCGCCAAATAACTCATTCACAATTTAGGGTTTATCCCGTTATAGGATTTTACAGCGTACCTTATTGTGATAACAGGGTTTAGCTTTTCAAGATACAGGGGTAGTATTCTCTTTGTAATTCTGTAGGGTTTTTCTCTCTGACAGTAAATCTGCAACATGGATTCCGAGAAGGAAGCATTCAACTTCACAAAAAAGCCCTTTGTCGAAGACATCGGACCACGAAAAATGTTGGTGTTTGGAGTTTACTTTCATTACCTTTCTCTTTTTCTTTTATTGTAAAGAGTTGCTGTATTTTCAAGGATTGTTTGAACTCACTATATTCGAAACTGCAACATTTATTATGTTTTTGTTCCTAATTTTGCAGAAAGAGCGTCCAGTTTTGCATGCTATCTGGACCTGAAATTGTGAAAGCTGCAGAAACGCAGGTTTATAAGCGTGATTACTATAATAGGACCGATCTTAAGCCTGCCGAACATGGTGTACTTGACACTCGTATGGTACGGTGCCAATCTGTTTATCTTTTTAATATTTTCAATTTATTTTTAGTATTGCTTTGTTGAATTTTATTTAGAGCAATGATATCATGCAACCGTTGTATAGTAATATGATGCAACAACGTAAAAAAACATCTTATGGGCATTTGTTTGATCCAATTTTTGAAATATACACTCTTTTCATTTTAATGAATAATCACAAAACAAGAAAAAATTGAAAATACAATCTAGAAAGTATTTTTTTAGCCCAAATAACATAGGCCG